CCACCGCCGCCACCACTCATGGAGGACTGATCTTGGCCGTAATTGCCTCCACCACCCCCTCCACCGCCACTGCTGCTATTGTACTGGCTCTGCTGTCCATAGCCCTGAGGGGGATTGTAGGAGCTTTGCTGCTGACTGTAGCTCTGTTGCTGTCCACCATAGCCAGACTGTTGGCCATAGCCCCTACTCTGGGGCTGCCCATAGCTGCTGCTCTGAGAACTACCACCATAACTTCCCAAGGTGCTGCTGGGAGCTGGCTGCTGACCATAGCCAGGATAAGAGGACTGCTGACCGTAAGATGACTGGGAACTCTGGCTACTGCCATAGCCACCAGTGGAGCCATAACCCTGGGGAGCTGACTGTGTGCCATAACCTGTGTTCTGAGTCTGTCCATAAGAACCACCATAGCTGCTCTGGCCATAGCTTGAAGTGTCTGCTGACTGGCCATAGCCACTGTAACTCTGCTGTCCATAGGGCTGATTGCTCTGCTGGGAGCAGCCCTACCCAGGCTGGGTGGGGTAGGCCCCATAGCTTTGGGTTGCTTGTTGAGTATAGTCATTTGAGGCCATGTCCGCACACTTGCATGCAGGCCAACAAGCAACGAAATACCTCCACCGCACAGCACCGACGCCTTGAGGACTGACTATCATAACTATTTTGAATATATAAATACAAAATGGTTGTTCATTTGTATCCCCCTTTTTGTTTAGTTTTGTCAGAGAAGGGTATTCCATTGTCATTTAAATATAGGTGCATGAATTCAGCAAAATATTCCAATATAGTCTAGTAGTCCATAATAATAGTGGGTTTTCCATAGGACTGGCAATGTCAGAAGTTGTTGACTTGAGCCTTTTACAGCTCAGCATATTAATATGGCTTTAAACCTTGTTTTTATACTTTTCTGCTGGATGGTTAAGACTAAGATAAAGCAAGACCTATATAACAAGAAATGTAACTTCTGTAGCTGATAAGGTCAGTGAAATCCCCTCAGGATTTTTCCTGAGATCTTGTACTTCAGATTGTAGATCCTTTGTCAGTGTGAGCCATCTGGATGAGTCACAGCCATTGCTTGACCAATTTGCTTGCTGTGAAAGCCTGAGTGAATGTTTTCTCTCCGTGTGACTCTGTTTAGGCACACTCCTTGATCAGAAAGTTTGGGACACAACTGAAGTACAGGTTCTCCTTTGTCGTGAGTCTTCACTGACCTTTTAAGGCTAGGGCCAAAACATTGGCTGTCCTGCTACAATGCTGTGTATAGTTTGATATCTAAACTTTTGTGTAAAAATATGTAATTGTTTAATCCTATTTTTAAAAATTTTTTAAAAAAAATTTTCTTCATACTCTGTAGGAACCTAAAGGTTAACATATCAATACTTGATGGAAAATATCTGTTCCATGTTATTCCTAAAATGTCTGATATTCAGCCAGATAGTGAGATTAAGCTCAACTGCCTATGTTGTAGGGTAATAACAATAAGCTTCTCTTCTGGAGGGTTAACAACCTAAGTTTGCAGACCAAAAATTAATGAAAAATTATTTTGAAGACAACATTATATGATATAACAATCATTACTGAGTTTGTATCATCATGTTTTTTTGAAATTGTATAGTGTTTCTAATGCTTTTATTATTATTTTTATTGTCTTTAAAAATACTTCAACCTCGCTGGGTGTAGTGGTACACACTTCTAGTCCCAGTGCTCAAAACACTGAGGCAGGAGGATTTCCATGAGTTTAAAACCAGCCTGGACTACACAGTGAGTTCAAGGTCAGCCTGAATGACATAGCAAGACCTCAAAACACGGAAACAAACAAGCAAACAAACTTTTTTTAGTCTATAAATTTAGTGTGTTTGATTTGTCTCATAAATGCTTCAGTTATCTGTTTTCATAATCAAAATTTTCTCAAGTTCTTAATTCTTACAAATCTAAAATAAAATCAACACATGTTCTAAGACTGCAAAATTTAATATTTCTTTTTTTTTTAAATTTTTATTTTATGTACAAAGAGTTTGCATGGTCTCTTTCATTGAGCATCAGTATGGCCTGGATAATCCATCGAAGGAAGATCACTTAGTCCAACTTGATGAAGCCGATGTCCTTCGCGTACTGACGGAAACACTGGCGGCACATGTTCAGCCCGTATTTCCGGATCAGACCGTGTCGGTTCGAGCAGACGCGGCAAGAGCGGGAGCCCTGGCCGAATTTCCTCGGGTGGCTCCAGTAGAGTTGCTGGTGACCCATGTTGCTTCCAGGGGTACAAGGAGGCAAAAGGAAGGAGCCCAATATTTCTTAAGAGAAAGATGCCAACTAAAATTTTTTGTTTAAGTTCAGTGTACATTTTAAATAGTCTGAGCTGCTATTTGAGCAGGTCAGATGTTTTTACCAAGGATAAAACTCAAGACCTTGCACTTGCCAGGCAGGAACTTAAGTCTCTGAGCTATCTCCCTGGTCTTAGGCCAAATGCTTTTAAAGATATACACATATAAAGCCAGTGTGAAAATAAATATTAATGTGAAGATTTTAATTCTCTTAAGTATTTCTTTACTTAATATAAAAATATTTCTGGAGCTTAAAACTACTCATTTAGGAAACAGTTATGTGTTCAAAATAATGGTAGAGACTGCAAAGCAATGATGGATTTTGGCTAAGACTGTACTTTTGTTAGAGATACTGACTGAGATAAATAACTGTGATTCATAGTCCTAAATATGTTAAATGCTTAGACTTCCCCTTTCATTTTTTTTGTATTGGTAAAATCACCTTAAAATTCTCCACATTTATCACATCTTTAACATGGTGCCTAAAAGATAAACTTGAGGCTTTTATAGGCAAATAGATGCAACTAGAGACCATACTCATAAGTGACATAAGTCAGACCCACGTGTGCAAGCATTGTATTGTCTCGCTTGGGTAAGAACCTGAAAGTAAATAAAATCTGAAAGGTACAATAGATACTGTGAAAGGGAAAGAATCTGTTCAAAGGGAAAGAAAAACTGGGATGAAGGAAAGGACAAATGAGAGAAGGAAGGGGAAAAGGTATAGTTATGTATCTACACAGGATAGCTTGGATAATTGTACTGCTGATTTCTGCTGGTTTCCTGCAAGGAGCAGTTAATGCTTAATTTTTTTCTTCTCCTTTTTAATTTCTTGTAACTTTCCCCCCTAGTTTTGCATGTTCATATCTGGGAATCTAGACAACTAATTTGCAAATAACATTGTGCAAAACCACAACCATTGTCGAATTCCTATTGTTTAGTGAAATTCTGTATCATTTCTATTTTGTTTACCATTTTGCATTTTCTTGAAAAAATGCATGGGGCTTTACAAACTGGCTATTCTGTAAAAATGTACTTAACTAATTATTCATTAAACATTCTCTGTTTAAAGCAGTTGGGAAAATATTATTTCCTGGGAGAGCCTTTGCTCACACTAGTGCATTAAAGACTTTTGCTAATCTTATAACAAAGGCATTTTTTTTTCTCTTGGTTCAACCTAGTATTTCCATAATTAAGTAAGCAACAATCTTTTCTCTCTATCATCACTGTTCATACCCCTCTGGGCTGGAAGGAAAGCTCAGGTCTGTCTGCTCCTGTCTGTTTTCGTCACTTCAGTTCAGACTATTGTTGTCCTCCTCCTAGATTAGTCTGTTAGATCTCCTAAATAGCATCGCTGCTGCTTTTCTTTCCTATTTGCAATCTGATCTTTAGATTCTCTGTGTGTGTGTGTGTGTGTGTGTGTGTGTGTGTGTGTGTGTGTGAGAGAGAGAGAGAGAGAGAGAGAGAGACAGAGACAGAGAGAGAGTTATTTATAGCATCAGTTATTAGTATTTGAGATAGTTAGGTTCATACTGTTTAATTAAAGAGTAAATTTTGATCCTTTAGAGTATACTGCAGTAAAATCTGAACACGTGGGGAAAATACTGACTTTTAAAAATCTTTTATGTATTTATTTATCTGGTACAGGGTCTCACTACGTAACTTGGACTTGTAGTGATCCTCCTATCTCAGCATCCCAGCACTGGGATTACAAGCATGTGCCACCTAGTTTCAGTAGCTGACTCAGCATGTGGTACCAAGGATCAAATCTTGTCAGGCAGGTGCTTAGACTGCCAAGTTATCTCCCCAGCCCAATACTTACTTTTTATTTGGATAGAAAATATAATGTGTGAAGAGGTCATTAAGAATTCTTAAATATATATTAATAGTAAGATTTTATTGTCAACTGTATGTAAAATTGTGAGTTTGAAAATATACTGCAAAGTGTTAGGGATCACATACTACTTGTCTTCTTCTACAAACAGGATGGCCATCCTGTTTGTAGCAATTTATAGCTCTTTAATTTTCTCCTATAATGCTTCTTTGGAAATAGCATGTTAAGTAAATAAAAATCCCCCTATTGATAGAAAGAACAAAGGGTGAAGCAATCTTGTCTATTTGGCTGTTTCATTACCTTCCAACTTGTCTTTGTCTGAGATCTGAGTCCTTCATTTGAACTTCATGTTGTAGGCCTTCCTTAGGTATTACATTCCAAGTCCCACAGTGCTCAAATTAAGCCAGAATAATTGCAATTCTGTATGTTCTACATATTGCTCTTGTAAGAAAATAAAGCAAAAAGCTTCATGTAGCCCTTTTTGGTGTTTCTTGTGTCTTATACACATGTATATACATTATAGAAATAAAATTCTGCCACCTTAAATTTCTCCTCATAGGTTAAACATGATTTTCCTTTTTTCCAGGAGCCTTGGAATAGCTTCTGTTAGAGGGTAGCTGCTGTGATTAGAGAAGGAAACAGCACCGTGCCTGCCATTTGAATAAGGATTTAGTGAGGTCTGTAGTGCTGAGCTAGTCATAAGAGAAGCTTGAAATATACATCAAAGGGAATTTAATCTAGGCAAAGCTAAAAATAAAAAGGCCCATTTCATGGAGACATGCTAGTTAAAGAAATTGAGGAGTGTGGAAAAGGGACTTATCTGGAAAAAACAGTCCGAAAAGAGGGGACATAAAATTAGCTGATGATAAACAAAACCCAAGAGATTATAAACCTCAGAGGACTAGCGTTCGTGGAGAAGCAGTACGTACTAATTTTGGGCTCTGTTTGCTTTAGCTCTTTTGGAAGGCATCAGTGTTCACTGATGACTAGAGCTTTGGGATTCAATTTTTAAGAGGGAACAACTGTGATCATGACATTGGCATTATTGGGACCCTCACTGAGATCATGGGAAGCATCAATGATCATAATATTGCTGTCACTGTGATCCTGGAGCATCCACTTCTCATTGAGAAGTGTGCATTCCGTATGCACCATTTGCTCAGTTAAGGTTACTATGTCCCTGAAAATTCATATGTTGAAACCTCATCTTCAATTTATACTACATTGCAAAAGGAAGATAATTCAGTGATGAGGGTTGGGCCCTAAGTACAGGGATTAGTGCCTTTTTATAAACAAGAGTCCTCATTCCTATCCCCCAGGTGAGCAACAGGTAAGAAGACTGATATCTTCAAGCCAGGAATTGAGCCTACAGTAGACATGCAATCTTCTAGTATCTTGGACTTCCCAGCTCCTAGAATGGTGAAAAGTACCCATGTTGTAATAAATATTTTTGTTATCCTAGACTAAGGGATGAAACCAGTTAGCATATGTTTAAAGCTAGCTATCTTTTGTTGGAGTTTACCACTTACAGTTATTGGTTCTATTCTTTGAAATCTCTATTTTCTTAGGCAGATTAAATCTCAGTTGTATGGCTATACACAATACCAGAATTTCAGGTAGTTCACTTTTTACTGATCAGAATATTGATAGCTAGGAGAAAACCTATATTCTTGTTTGAAAAAACAGCTCAAAAATGCAAATTAAAACAATAGTGAGTTTAATCTCATCCCAGAAAAAAAAGGATAACATAAAAAGTCAGCCAATGCCAAATGTTGGAGAAGCTGTGGAGAAAAAGGAACCTTTCTGCACAGTCGGTGGGTATGCAGAATGGTACAACCATTGTGGAAATGAGTGTGGGGATTCCTTAAAAAGATAAGATTGGAGATCTCATTCAAGATAGCTATTCCCCTCCTGGGTATTTTTCCCAGAAGAACTGAAAGCGTCATGCCACAGTGATATATGTGCATCCATGTTTGTAGATGCACAATTTGTTATAACTAAATCCTGAAAAAAACCCAGATGCCCGTCAACTGAAGAATGGATAAGGAAGATGTGGCATTTTTACAGAATGGAGTGTTATTCAGGTAAAAAACAGGCTAAATTTGAGTATTTTTTTGGTAAATGGTTGCAACTGCAGAACATACTCTTAAGTGAAATAAGTCAGACCCACATGTGCAGACATCATATTGTCTCCTTAGTGGGAGAACCTGAAAGAGAAAATGGAATCTGAAGAGTACAACTCACTGGTAAAAGGGAAATAATTTATTCAAAAGGAAAGAGTTACTGAGCTGAGAAGGACAGGACAGGGAGTCAGGAAATGAGATACATCTATGTATGTAAGCAGGATGGTTTGGACAACTGTACTCTGCATTTCTGCTGGTCTATGGAAGGAAGAGTTAATGCTTTAATTTGTTTTATCTCCCTTTTTTCAATTGTTTTTTCCTTTTTTTCTTAATTTCTTAAACATTTCTTTCATTTTTTTTTCTTTCTTCTTCCATATATCTGGTAATATGAATAACTGGTTGGAAGACAACACTATGTATTACAACAAATACTGTGAAATTCATATTACTTTTTTAAGTGAAAATCTGTATTACTTATAATTTTTCCTGTTTTAGTTCTAATTTAAATTCTCTTTAAAAAATAGAAAATCAGCTCAAAATGCAGGTTATGCTGTTGGCAGCTCAATGTCTGCATTTCTGTACATAAAACAGCTGCATATCCCTCAGTATGGAGGGCATTTTAAGTCATAATACGAAGAGTGAGCTCACTGTACATAGCTCATGAGCCACTCATTCAAGTAAAGGATTTTCTTTACCAGATTTGTTACTATATGTTGTATTTCTAGCACAGTTCTTTGGAGGCAGCCTTTTGTGATTATTTGGAAAATGATGTGTCCAGGACTTCCGAAAATAGAAGATGCATAATAAGATTGGTAAGGGTCAAGTTTTGTCCTTTGGATCTCCGTATTCATTTTCTTTAAATAGTTGATCACTAGCAAGTTGAACATACAGTCATCCACAAGTGGAGGACCTCTAGTGAAGTTTCTAAGTACTTGTTCTGTGATTAGACAAGGGAACAGTGCTGCAGAGGTATGTGACATGGGAAGTGTACTCTGAAATAA